ACATTGGCCATATTAGAACTGAAAACTCAGCTAATTCAAAATAGTTAACATTTTCTATGTAATTTCTGATTGTGCACATAATCATAATACCAATATTTGAAAAATTTTGAGAGCAGCCTTGTTTAGTCGTGAGGTTAAAACAATGCTTAATCATTGGCAAACTTTCAAAGCAGAGTGCTATTTATTTTCTCTGTTATTGATAGAGTAACAGAATTAGTGTTGCTTCATAAACATCAAGTTGACTTGGCATAAAAAACATTATTAAGAATATATATTTAAAATTAGAAGGAAAAGAAACAATGTAAGAGATGACTCTTGGATAGAAAAAAGTAATAAAGTTCAAGCAAATCACATGCTTATAATGGTTTGCAGAGGCTGGCACTTTTGACTGAAGAAGCAAATTAAACGAACTAATGTCTGGTGCCTCTGAAACCACAGGCAAAATGACAATGTAACTGGACTTACAGAAAGAGAAGTAGTGGCCCAACATCAAAGAAAACACACTTAAAAAGGAAAAAAAAATAAAAAGAAAGAGAAAAGAAAGTTGCATCCAATTTCCATCCATCCAAGAACAAACTAGACAGATTTTAGAATCCTGAGCATTGCCTTTATGGTTTTAGTTTAAAAAATGCCCAAGAATTTTTTTTCCACTGAGCATTCAAGTCTCTAACTGAATTTTCTCAGGACTGTAAGAATGCATGACAAAGAACCTCAAAATGTTACTGAACTATTTCATTGATATTTTCCTGCTACTTTCTTTTCTCTGGCAATACACACACAAAAACTGTTCCCTTAGTAAAGTGACTCCAAAACCAGAAATCTGTGTACTTGCAACAGCTTTTTCATGCAAGAGAATATTGACTGTGAAAGAAACAAATAATGAAGGATATTTTACTGTGAAAAACTGTGGTCTTTAAGAGAAACAGGGCAATTCTGATTGTCCCATGATGGAAATGAAAATCGTATCATTAACCACAGAGTGAAATAAATTTCAGGCCCAGTTAAGGACTCCATTACCCAAGGAACTTCATGACTCTGAAGATATTTTGAAATACAAATTTTTGTCTAAAAAGAGGTAAAATTTAAAGGAGTGGATAAAAACATGAACATACCTCAGTTATTGCCCATTATAAAAATACAAGTAAAATTATCAGTAACAACACAAACATAATTTCAAATACAAGTTTTACCACATTATAATGCTTAGAGACAAAACCTTAATTTCATTAAGAATGATTTTAAAAGTCAATTTTAGCATTAAAGACTCAGCTGTTTGGAGATAATTGTCTGTCTAAACACTATTGATTGTAGTAGCATTTGAATACTTTCAAGTACTTAAAAATACCTAAATCCTGAAACTAAAGCCTACATAATGGAGAAAATGAATATATAAAACAAGTCTTTTATCAGGTAACACTAAAATAAAGGAGAAAAATATCCCTTCCTGTTTATTAGGGCATTGTACAGATGAACTGTTCACCTGGAAAACATTTCAATATTCTAGCAAAACACTCCAAAGGGGAAAAAAGTTTCTTGCTAGTTAATTTTGACACTCTGAGCATTTGTTGAGGATAATTAAGTCCATAGGATGGAACAATGAGACTTTTCATGGCTCTCTTTCCAAACACACTCAAATTAGATAAAGACTTTTTTACTGCAGTTAACATTAAACCCAGAAATATTCAAAATTAAGTGTATGAGTTAATGCAAAGTTATATGGGATAATGTCAGATAAGCAAAGAAAGACCTTTTGGATGAGAATTTAACAAGCATAATTTTTAAGCTTATTCTAATGAATTTTCAAATTCACTGGCTCTTCATTTTCACTGTGAATTACCTTTCTTCTTTATGTGGGACTTTAGAGAAGAAAACAGGAGGGGTGGGGAGCAAGAAGATGAAATTACAAATAGATAGATATATTTTTCTTCCATGTAACAGCTTTAGAAAGGCTTAGTGTCCAACTGAAGAAGTTTGTTTTCCTACGGTGTTAAACACAGGACTGTGCAACAGATTGAGGAATAGCTTGCAGAAAGAATCATGGCTTAAACCAACAGAGGAGTCAGACAATGAATGAGAAAGAAGTTAGCACTTGAAGTAATACTTCCCAACTCACTACAAGTCTCGACTTTGAGCAGTATAAACAGGCAAACACTACGTGGAAATTCTGCTTCCTCCGGCATGGGATTTTCTCTCACACTAAAACCACTACAAACTTCAGAAATAGAGACAGCAAACTGAGCAAAGAGAATGGCATAAAATCCATTTTCCATTGGAAAATCCATCTGTTTCAGAGTGGCATTCAATCCATACACTGAATACAGAAGTCTTAATCAATCTTAAACATTTGCCTTTGCAAACTGTCAGATATGAGCATTGTTTGATTATAAAAAGGAGTAGGAAAAAACCCCAGTGCTAAAAGCACTGCCTTACATGTTAAAACAAAAGTAATAAGAACAAGATTGAGTAATATCTCCACAAACATTAATGGGAGTCCCTAGCTTAACAAAAATAATATGAAGGGATAAAATTTTCATTAGGTTTACCTCTACATGAAAATATATAGAACATACTATTCTAAGGTAATGAAGTCAGCTTATATTACAGACAAGAAAAGAATTGGGCATAGATTTCTATCGCTGCACAACAAAAGAGGCAACAGTAGCATTGCTATTTTAAGAGTCAAAATTGGAACCTTAGTATACACAAAATTCTCAGGAGATTGTATATCTCCTGGATTCAGACACATCAGTACTTAGTAAATTAAGAACATCAATCCACTTTTACAAGAACAAGACAAAGGCTTGACAGCTCTCCTTCAAGTAATACAACAAAAGCAGAAATAGCTTTCCCCTGGTTACTTGCAAGACCAACAACGTACCATTCTGCTACTGGTTTGGCAATGCTGTCAAAAATCACATCTTGTTTTGCCTCTTGATTAAAAATTTTCTGAAATCTGAAAATATTAAGAAAATAATAATTGCTTAGAATGTTAAAACAGTACTTGATTCATACATTTTTGTTTGTGTTTGTAATTGTCAATGTTTACATCATTAGGCTTACATAACTTAGTACAATGTTTTCCCTGTAGTCTTAACCACAGTTTGCTGTTGTGCTATTGTACATAAATAGGCTGTACACAGAGCTGCTTTGACAAGATCTGTACAATAAAATCCTCTGATAAAATGATGTGGCTTAGAAAAAAAGAAACCGTATTTTAAATCTATCAAGAGAATTAGTGTTTGTAACTGGCACCACACTGAATCCTGGATAAATAGATTACACTATAACCAAATACAGCATCCCACCAGTACAGCCAGGCTCACATTTTTTCAACCCATTTCTTTCATTCTGCTGCACAATTATTATAGGTCACAGTGAGACATTTAATTAAATATGTTTTGTTAATTTCTATGCAAAATATCTGCAGTTATTTTACAGATTCAGAATACTTGAGGCTGGAAGGGCCTATTTGTTCCAATCCTTCTGCTGCCTCTGCATAATTTTCTGTTCATGTGGATGGATTGCTCTTGAGCTTGGAGAAGGTGATCCTTCTCCTTCAAAATCAGCCAGTTTTCCTGGTCATTTCCTCAGGAATGTATCTCAGAGAACTCTTTCAAGCAAATCCATGAACAAGCCAAAGTTTGCATTTATGAAGTCTAGGGTTGTGATCCTGTTTTTGCCTTATTCCCTTCTCTCAGTATACTGAATTTCATTATCTCACAGCCACTGCAGTCAAAGCTGCCTCCAAGCTTAATATCCCTCAACAGTTAGTCCACGTTTGCAAATATCCTGATTGGCTTAACTCTATGTTAGGAAGTTGCCATCCACATGTTCCAGCAGCTCCCTGGTGCCCTGCTGTGTTGCCCCCCTCTATTCTCTACTCATTCTCACTCATACTCAATTCTATTCTCACACATAACTTCCCAGGGTGCATAGAAAGGCACCATGCTGACCCATGCAGTGGGTGCAGTATCACAGACAAATGCAACACACAAAACATAAAAGCATTTATTCTATCCTGCTAATCTGTCAAGTAACTCAAACAATTATTCTTGCACCATTTTAAGGATAATAAGGTATAAGGTTTCTCAAAATGAATCTGTACAGAATTTTTAATAAATTAAAAAGTCAAACAAAAATATCAGCATTCATTAAGTCAGGCGTGGGCATCTACAGCCCAAGGAAGTGTTGCATATGAATCTCTTTGGAGAGGGCAGCTCCTCTCTTTCCAAGTACATTACCTTAGCTGATGTAAAATGACATCAGTCTGAGCTGCAGTTGTTTATGTGGAGCTCTTTTTTTTTTAATAGCATAGAGAAACAAATTATCTGTTGTTTACAATAAAAACTGAAGCATATCCAAATTGGAAAAAGACAGTCTTGACCTCATCATTAGAAGTGATTACAGATCTAGCATTATTCATCCAAAATTTTAAACTGGTGCCTCACTTTTCTGTTGAAGTAATAAAAATGTTTGATAATGCTGTACTGACTTTAAGTTCCTAAAAAAAAAAAAAATTATGCTTGACAAGCAAGAATTTATTTCTTTCAACAATTTCTGGTTTTCTTTACCTTGCTTTGGCTATGTCTGAACAGTTTCTAACAGAATGCTTTACATCAAGACTTCCTTAGCCAGCCTATGGCAACTCATGAGATCACAAGACAAAACATAGTCCTGCTCCAGTCCTCACACACAAATTCAAAACAAGGTGCAAAATAGAAGAACTGATAAATAAATCTTTGAATAATATTTAGAAATGCATAATGACTTGCAACGCACAGGCAGTAATATGACAATTTTATCCAATGCTATCAGACCCATTGTGGTGAAGAGCATCCTGAAGTATTCCTCTTGTTAAGGGAGTTGTAGAAAAATAAACCCATCTATACCATAATCTAATTTTAAAATTAGACTTTTCCTGATTCTATATCTCTGTATCACTATATATAGCATTGTCAATCACTGAAGGCAGAAGGTACAAAGAAAAGGCTTCTACTCACTTGAATTTGTAGCTTTCTCGTTTATTATTGATGAAGCCACCTGCTAAGTCACGTGGCACAGTAATCTCCAGACTGGACAGAGGTTCCTCATTATCAGCTGAATAGATCTAATAAAGATGGATACAAATTCACAGAATATCTTCATCAATAGAACCCTTAGACGTAACACCTGCGATTGTCTGGAGACAAACTTGTTACAAATTGCACTAAATACGTGAGCAGATCGTCCTTAACTACTACACAACAAAACTAGCACACACCAGCATTATCCTGTCACCATGTAAACACTACAATAATATTTGAAACAAAAGCATAGCCTCTTTGGCATAATTTGCTTACTAAACCACTTTAATATCTGTGATAGCATAAAAAAAACAAAACACAGCCCCCAGTGCAAACCTCTCCAAAAATCTGGAAGAATACATTAGGAAAGGCTACAACAAGACAAAGGCTGAGAAGAGCTGGTTTAAAACCAGAAGGCAATTAAGAGACCTAAATGCACGGTTCCTGAGGAACACTTTCATTATCTTTATTATCCCTTGGGAGGGCAGCTGTACCCCGGGAGCAACACGTTCCCCTCCCTTGCTCAGAACACTGTTGAGCTACGCAAACCCGGTGACGCGTGTCAAGTGTTTTCCTGCGGAGCCTTTCTCTGATAGCTAGGCTGGAAGTAAGTTTCTCAGCCACACCCCCAACAGTTATAGCCTAAACTCCTCTACTTCGTGATTTTATGAACTTCCGAAGGCTTCGGCGAGCAGGAGCTCCTGGCCGCACACCCGCGGCCCGAGCCTCTTGCAGGGGAGGAGCCCCAAGGGAGGGGCCCCCACCTGAGCTGGGAACGCGGGTGGCTCTCCCCAGTGCATCCCCAGGGCATCCCTAGGGCACCCCCGGGGCACAGCTCCCGGCCTACCCCCGCCTGCTGCCGCCTGCCCAGCGGCTTCACCCGCGCGTACACCCGGATCCTCTCCTTCACCATCGCCGCCGCCGCCGCCGCCTTCGTGCCCCGGCAACGGTAACCGGGCACGGCCGGCGGGCACGCGCCGCCGCGCGGCCTCGGGGAGCGGCCTCGCGCCGCCTCAAGGAGAGGCCAGAGGCGCTGGGCCAGCCCGCCCCAGGTGCCCTCTTACCCCCGGTGCCCGCTTTCCCCAGGTGACCTCTTGCCGCAGGTGCCCGCCCGCTCCAGGTGCCCACCCACCCCAGGTGCTCGCTTGCCGCAGGTGCCCGGTGGCCCCAGGTGCCCGGTGGCCCAGCTCGCCGTGCCCGCTCCCCGGCAGCTGCGCTCCCCGCGGCCGGAGCCGCAGGGCTGCGAGCGAAGGGCGCTCGCATTCCCCAGCCCAGAGGTGCGGGGAGCGGGGGGCATTCCCCGGCTGATCTCTTGTGCCGCTCCTGTCTGTCCGCAGCCATCTCCCGGCTCAGCCCACCTGCGTAAGGCTCAAGAGAAGGTGTTCTGTCGTTATGCAGTTGAAACACCATGGAGAGAAATATCAAGATTACCGGCACTGAGGACATCAACTTCTTAATTCTAATAAAAAAAATGGTTGTGGAAGAAAACACTCCACAACTTATACTGCAAAAATAAGATATTGTCTTGTTATGAGAGCTAAACATAGAGAGCAATAAGAGCAGAACTCCATTATTTTGTGAAGTGGTTACATTATTCTGTGAAAAGTCACGCAAACAACATGATTGTATTTTGGCCTTAGTTTTGGTGGGATATAGTGGCAGGGATCAGTTTACAGTGATTGCAAGCACACTAATTTAAATTAAGTGGAAAATCAGGGGCTTGTTTACAGAGAAGGATAGAAGTTTCTCTAGCTCAGATATGGTAAAAATATGTTGAACTTGTATTCCGAATAGGAAAAATAGTAGGGAAAAGGTTCTCTCTCTCAGCTCAGCAAATAATTGTCTCAGAAAGTGTATGAGGCATAAGTAGTGAGCCTTCAGGGAATAAAATAGAAAAGGGCTGATCACCATCTAAAGTCAAGTGCAAAAAGTCAAAAGGACAAAAATGAAAACAAATGGAAAATATTACTTGGTGATTAAATAAAGAGTGAAGGAAAAACAGGACATTGGAACGGGATAATGGAATAAATAGTAATTATCTTCTTGGCATTGCTCCAAAATTACAAAAAAGTTTGTCTCTTGACAGTAGGGATGGGGATGTTGAAGGTGATGTTAGAACCAGAATGACTACAGGTAGTGAAACAACTGCAGCCAAGAAGGAAGCAGAACATATAGTGTTCAATGAATTTAGAATAAGAGATCAGGATTTGGGAGGGAAGCATAAATAATTTCAGTTCCAGAACTCTGAAAGAATTGTGATGTCTAATTGAGGTTTCAGGAACTGAAATGTTGGTTTTCTTGATTTAGAATTGAAATGATGCAGGACAGTATAGTATTTTGAATTTCTATACAGAAAACTCCAAATTTAACAATCAGCTGTTTTGTTTAGCAGCTTAGCTGGATTGTGAATTGGTTGGACAGCAGACATTATAGTATTGCAGTTAATTGTAAGCATAGCCTTTTTGTGTCTGCCCATGTTGAGTAGCTGGAGTAGCTGGAGTATGGAGCTGGGTGAATGACACTATTGATTTTGGGGCCAAGCCTGCTCTGCAAATGGTTTATGTGCCTTTCTTCAACCTGAAGCCTGAGCTATAAACTCTGAACCAGTGGAAGAGTGAAGACACACTTTTATTATAGGGTAATCTGAATATGCTATGGCAGAGAGAAGCCAATGAGTCAGCTTAGACTCAAGCTGCTTCCAGAATAAAAGAATGGCCTTTCAAGATAAGCCTGAAGGTGACAGCTAACTGAAAATGTACAAGTCTAGAGATTATATCTTATGCTGAAGACATGAAAAGTTTTTGTCTGCTTTAAATTTACTGTTTGAGATCTTTCTGTATTCACTGGTACTTGAGGAATTTTCAGCATTTACATTTACGTTAAACCTCAAAGATGTGTCAGCTTTCTTCAGCTCCAGGATTTGAGAAAGTGCACCACACAACACAAGCAACCTATAGACTTGAAATAATTATATGACTGAATGACGTGTACGATCTGGCAATTTCATGTTTTAAAAAGGTCAGCCATTGCATTCTGAAGCAATAGAGCATCACAATGAATCATCTGCCTTTACCGTTGTCATTTTCTTCCAAGTACAAAAATATTATTGGTCATAATATATACTGGACCTGGCAATTCAAAAACTTGTGCACCATTATGTCACTTAGCAACTTACTGTGCTTCCAAATAAACAGCCTTTTAAGTTTTTTAATGGCACAGACTTTCAAGTCCTGTCTCTTTTTTCCCGAAGTTTTACTTTTCATAGACTTTACATATTCTTGGCCACTATCATGCCATTTAGCTGAGATAATGATTGGAAGTTAGAACACTAAAATCTTTCCATAGATCAGCTGGGCAGGATGAAGGGCCAAAACTCTTGCAAAAGCCTGAGTTTCTCTCATCATCCAGCTCCTAAAAACATTGATGGCAAATGATGACCGGAACCACTTCTTATATGACCAGAAATTAAAGTCTGAAATGTGGCCTAAATTTAGGTATAATATCTGTTGAGTTTTTTATGTGAGTGCTGCCAGAAATAGTACAACCTTTATTGCAAAAGTTGTGGTAATACAGAAAATTGAGTTTCTGTATTTGAATGGAATGTGAAAAAGTTGAGGCAATATTTTTTGATTTTTCAAGTATCATCCCAAAGCCTTGTTTTCTTCTGCTTTGTGTTCAGCATTAAAATGTTTAATGCTGTCATGTAGACAAAACTGCCTTGTTCAGCTTTTAATAGCCCAGCCCTGAGAGGAGGATAGAGATGTTTTTCTCTTTTAGGCTACTGTTACAATCTGTTTCTTAGGAAACAAGGCTGCATCTTCATGTATGTAAGAAAAACATTTGAAAAGTACCTTAAAATGTCACTGTTCTCACATTCTTACCCATTTATATGTGCCCTAAAAATGTGTGTCTTGGTAGACTCAGTCAACTAGAAAATCTGAAAATGTCCTCCTCAGGGCTTATGTATATGCATTATTGTATGTCTTCAATTGCTTGGCTCTTTTAAAGTAAACAAAAATTCCATGGTGAAATTTAGGGATTCTTAGGACTCTGGCTGCAACAGACAACAAATCTTTCTTTTAGGTTGAGCATTTTGTTTCTGGCTTGGAGGCTTGAGGTGGGGGAGGTTTAATCTTCTAAATGGTAAACTGGATCCTTTGTTGCAAACTACCCTGAGAAATGTTAACAGAAGACATAAATGTAGTTCCAATTCATTGCAAATGTTATCTACACAATTTTCTCTACCACCTTCCCACATTTATCTTTAGCATAATAGTTTTTCTTACTGATTTATTATTATGAAACCTTCCAAAGTCCATTGTTGATTTGTCTCTGACTAAGGAGAGATAAAATTCTACGTTACCATGAGTAGAAAAATCCATAGTGTTTGGGCTTTTTTATTTGAAAACTGGTGAGAAATTTAGAATCTTATGCTCAGTTCTGCTCAATGAATAATTTCTTTTAGAGTCATTGTAGAACTAGTTTGTGTATGACTTTTTTGAAGAGGATTAAAATTCCATCACCTTCAACAAAACACTATAGGATTAAATTATTAGATACTATTTATTTACAATAAATCTTTAATTGAATCCAGGGATGTTTTGTTGGGTACTGTGTAAATTTAGAGGTATACCAAACAGCTCTTGCTAAGTTTAAGACAGGTGGCAATGCTGAAAAAGAGAAAAATTAATAGAAATAATGTGGGTAATATTAACAGAATAGTCAGAGGCTAAGATTTTCCTACAAAGCTGTTGCTGTAAAGAGAATTTAAAGAAAGAGAATTACATAATCCTACAGATCTTTGCAGACTTCTTTTGGGGAATGAAAACTAGTATCACAGAAAGCAGGGATAGGTATGTTTGAAAGTGTAAAATGAAATTGATGCCATTGATAGATCATAGAAACCAATCTACATATTGGTCATTAATAAGGTGTTACAGTATAGACAAGGATCTTAAAGACAAAAAAACTAATGTGGTAAACACAGGAGAGCTGCTGGAGGAAGCACAGCTGCTGACAGCCTAGAGTGATAACTGAAAGG